AACTTTTAATAAATTAAATTAAGCGACTTCACTTAAATTAGCATCACTTCACCCGCTGGGTAACGGTTTTCAGTGAATCATTTTGAAAATATGCATGTTGTGCTCCGATCGCCGCATGGCCCCGCCCCTGTGGGGAACCGTTCGTTCTTTCTTCCAGAAAGGAACCGTTGCTAGACTCAACACATTCCTTTAAATCTGACGGTGAGGTAAGATCTTTGTGTCCAGAACAGAGTCCACAGCAAACCTCTAGTGACGGTGTTTCCATCTCATCTCCCTCTGTTGTTGTTTTCCGTTGCTGCTGTTTGGTGTGTATGGAAGGCCATCCAGATCAAAAATACGGGACTTTTAACAGGTAAACAACAAGATGTTTACACATTGTTGGCGTGTTAACAACATATTATCAACAACATGTTAACATGTTGACAGCGTATGAAAATATTCATGTTTTTTTTTTTTTTTTTTTTTAACTAAATAATCCTTAAAATAAAGAGGCATGGCCACAGTTGGGTCTGGTTCTGGTACTGACCCGTTCCAATGAATTGAGCTTAGACTCTAAGTAAATCAGTTTTTATCAACATAAAGAGGAGCTGACTGGTTCTGACTTCCTGTCTGATCCGTCAGCTCCGATCTGGACCGGACCAGACCAGATCCGGTTCGGTAAGTGATGAGGCCCACAGGAACTCCAGAACACGGCTTTATTCACAGCTACGCTACGGCTGAATACAAAACAAGAAGCAACACATTAGATTTGGCAAAATGAATCTTTGAAATCGGCGGCTGCAGCAGAGAGAAGCACTATATGAGGAGAAAACCACAGAAGAAGAAGTCCTCCTCACAGCAGAAGACAGATTGATGGATTCATCCGCTGCTGAAAGTAGTCCCAGACAAGTCCAAGAGTCAACCTGAAAGCTCGTCGGGTTTCATGATTCTGTGACTGAACTCAAAGTTTTTCAATGAAACAAAAATATACAGAAAACAATCAGAACACTCAAACAGATCCAGTCCTGGTCCGAAGTTCTGATCCGGCCCGGGTTTTCCGTCCAAGCAGCCAGAAAAATCCAACATGAGCCCAATCCGGCTCAGACGTCCCAGTGGTTCTGATGGGGCTGGGATGGACCGGATCAGTTTGACCAGTTTAATTTGGCTGCATTGAAGTAGACCATGAAGGACCGGATCAGAACCTTTAAACAGAACCGTTCTTCATTCTGGTCTTTAGTGAACAGATGCAGACCGGTTCTGCTCCGGTTCAGACTGGGTCAGAACTGGTTGTGTTCAGCTGAAGACCAGCCTGGTTCTGGAGGGGCAGAGGAACGGGGAGCGGTTCTGGTCCGGCTCAGTTGAAGGCCTCCTTGTTGATCCACATCAGGGTCCGGGTCTCGTTGGGTTTGCACTCGTACTCGATGTTGCTGAACTTGTTGCCGAACTGGCAGTGCTCCCGCTTGTAGTAGTTGTAGAACTTGACCTGCCAGACCGTCTCGAACGACCCAGCCTTGTTAAACTGCAGAGACAGAACCAGAACCAGCATCAGAACCAGAACCAGAACTGCTCATGTTCAGATTTGTCTGCTGAACTGAATCTGTTAGTTTTGGATTTAAAAACAGGCAGGTTTTTGGGCTCCTGGTCCAGTCCGGTCCAGTCTGGTCCGCCTGCAGTTAGCTGTTCAGAACCTGAGGCCGGCTGTAGACATTTCTATCTATGTGTAATTTCTATAGTAGAGCTGAAATGAAAACGCATTAAAGAATCTATGAAATAATCCCTGAGTTTCACTGGACAGAAAATGAACTTTTATCATTCATGGCGTTGGTCAAACTGTTTAGCTCAGCGGTTCTTAACGTGGGCGGTACCGCCCCCCAGGGGCGTTCAGAGGACAGCAGGGGGCG